ATGTGTATGTGCCTGATTATGTGTGATGGTCAAATGTCGGATGTGGTGTCCTGTGTGTTATTGGTGTTCATTTCACATGTTGTATAATTTCTATCGATTTCTCTCTTTACTGTTCTTATATTTCTCTTCTACTTTTTCTTTTACTTTCTTACTATAGTATTATTTAAAAAAAGCCACTGATGATGCAGAAATTAAGAAACTAGCATTCAGTTTTGTTTTCTACTGAAGTGGCAAAAAAAGAAAAAGATGTAAATGAAAAAAGGAGGCAGATTGTTTAAAGTTAATTAATTAAAACACAAGATGCTGTGATTGAATTAAACACATGTAGAGACCACCATCTCTACAGTGAAGCATGGAGGTGGCAGCATCATGCTGAGATGTTTTTCATCAGCATGAACCAGGAAACGGAGTTAAAGAAAAGATGAATGGAGCAAAATACAAAGAGATTTTTGAGGCGAAACATGGAGCCTTACAGAGATTTAACCTTCTTGCAGGACAATGTTTATACGGACATGTCACATCAGATTCAACAAACTCTTCTATCTTCAGGAAAAGTGTGTAAATGAGCTGCATAAACATGATGAATTCCACCTGTTCGTATCCAGGTGCTCGTGCAAGGGTAGAGGCGATTTACATAATTACCTCCTCAAAAAACACCATATAAGGATATACGTTTCCTGCCCCACATACCAGGAAGAGGTCATTCATAAATGACATCGCAAAGTAAAACAGAAGAACTTTACGAGTTCAGAGATTGAAGTTCTGCTCCCGGAGATCCAGAAAAAAGAAATGTAATTTTTAGCAGCGTCAGCTGGAATTAAAGGAGCTGCTTTAAAGACGACTGCTGTTAATGTCGTGTCTCCTAGCTGTCACAGAAATAAAAATCTAAATCATATTTATCTCACTCTGTAGTCCTGCTCTGGTTTTTCTTAGGTCAAATATTTTTAATTTCAATGTAAACAACTATGTTACATAGGTTTCACTTATTCAGAGGGGCAGTCGCGCACCACAACCCCCCGGCGCAAGTGTCAGATGCGTTTCTGAAAAAAAGCATTTTAAAATGTCTCAAAACTTCATTTAACTTCATATTAATATTGTAGTGCTATACAACAAAATTAATAGCAAATTTATTTTAATTCAACCATCTTATGTCATTAGTCTACATTATTATATTTAAAATTATAATTCTAATTCAAACAGAATAGCCTCTTGTCAACATAATTCTAGAGTGTGATTTATTTGCAACTCGAAATATCTTCAAACTAATGAAATATAAAGTTATTAATGAAGAAAACACATCTGGATAACAGCAGACTGACTGCTTGTAAAATATAGGACAGGTCTGGACCATTCGTGAATTTTGTTCGTATCTGAAGAAAATCTTAGAATACGAAAAAATTGGTGAATGCCACAAATTCTCCTCAATCACTCGTACGCACAACTTAAGAACAAATCTGAAATATCTCTCCACTGGTTTAGGGAGGACCAGTTGAAGCCCAGACCTCAATCCGACTAAGAATCTCTGGCTTGATGTAAAGATTGATGAAAACAAGTGGCTTCCGACCAAGTTGAAGGAGCTGAAAAAGTTTGGTCACGAAAAATAGATCAAATTTCTGGCGTTTAGTAAGAAGTTTGTGGTGACATACCTGAAGACATACTGTACTATACTATAAATACACAAACTGTGCCTCTACTATGGAAGTTATTGTCATTAGAGGAGTGAATACATATGCATGCACAGACAAAGTTTATTCCCCATTTAATGTCATTATTAAAAAATGTCAAACTTTTTTTGTAGAAATGTTACTTTTAAATTAATCTACAAAGATCAATTTAAATGTTACGTAAGGATTACGAAGGAGGGTGAATACTTTTGCATTTCACTGAAAAATGCACAATAATAATGAAAAGCTTTTGTAAAAGGGGTAATCTGACTCCCACACAGTTCTGTCTCTGAAAGCCTTTTTGTAGACTCAAACAGTGTGGTCCTTGTTTCTGACTTATTTATTCCACTTCCATATAATTTCTTGTGGGGCTGGGCTGCTGATAATATTGAAAGGCAGGGTAGTAAATGATGTGAAGTCTTAAGCAGTACTGTCTGCAGGGTATGTCATTCTTGAAATATGTCCACTAGCAGGCCTACAGATCCTGTTTTCCAGATGCGTGTTGCGCAACACTTCATGTGTCTCCTCCTGTAGGCGCTCAGGCACATTTTGACATGTTTATTCCTTGGCAGAAGTCTGAGTGTGGTTTCCCCCTCTGATGTGTCCTCAGTCTTGGCAGGTCGTCAGATTTGTGAATTTCGGAGCTCACTTTGCAGCCGAGGACCAGGGGAACAAACATGAAAGAGAGGCGTGAGCGTTTCCCCGCGTGGAAAGTGTTGCTGGTCAGTACGTGTGTGCTGCTACCGCTCCTGAGCTGCGCAGCTGTCGTGTTCCTGCTGGTTCAGCACCGAGGGCTGGCGGAGGAGCTGGTCCGGATGGAGTCCCAGATGCAGGAGCTGTCAGAGAGCTGCAGGCTGCGAGCCGCGCTCCTGCCAGAGGAGCTCCTGGAGGCCGGAGAGCTGAGGAAGCTCCGCCGCAGCAGACGCAACCAGGAGGAGGATCTGAGCCAACACCAGGACCGGGACAATCTGATGCTCATGACATACTCTGTGTTTCCAGTAAGACACAAAACAGTTTGCATGTGTTGATCGTGAAATGCTTCCACAAAAACTAAAATAAAACCCATTTCTCATCCCTGTTTAGAAAAAGGAAAGGAATCACCAGTTTATGACTGGAACATTCCCTTTTCCCCCTTTTATGATGAGGCATCTCTGCATGTTAACGAAAGAATGCAGGAGTTTGTTGCTGTGGTTTTATGAGTGTTTTCTGGATAAAGACTTGAAGCAGCGGAGCTACTGTTCCTCCCTAAACTCACATTCTGAAAAAAATCTGGCAAATCTTCAAAGGTTGTGCTTAGGGGGGGAAAAAAGAGAGCAAGCTGCAACAGTGGTTGTTTCCTTGCAAATTATAACACATTAAGGCTATTAAATGTAAAAAAACAAAGTCATAAAATGCCCCAAAGTAAACTTTAAGAAGTTTTGTTTGTTCGACCAGAAGATATACATTTTTTATAAATACAGGCACTAAGAAGTCCATCTAATTATCATTTGTTTATATAGAAATATAAATATAGATTATTAATAAAAACCTTTGTTAATTGACATTAAATTAATTAATCAACATGTTACTGACCTGTTTTAGTTCTAAAGCTTTATTGACTTGTTCAGAAAATAAAACTAATTTTTGTATTTCTTTTTTTTAGGTCAAAGCTTTTATGGATCTGTGTAACAACTCTCGAGGAATTTGTTTAATAGGTACAATAAACTGTTGTGAATATTTTCTGCTCTTCTGCAATTGTATTTGACATTTCTCCACGTTACACTTTTAAAAAATCATATAATATTTGTACTTTTTCAGGTCCACCCGGACCTCCAGGTAACAAAAAAAGTTCAGTTTATTGTTTGCCTTTATTTAAGTCTATCACTCCTGTGTAACTAATTATTTATGTGTGTTTGCCAGGTTTGCCTGGCAAACCGGGCCCACCAGGACCACGAGGGGAACCAGGTCCCAGTGGCAGACGAGGAAAACGAGGTCAGAGACCTTTTTAATGTTTCCACAAACCTAATAGTCCATGAAACGGCCTTCTGTAAAACAGCAGCCCAGACCAGAGAAATGAATCCAGAACCCAAAGTGGTTCCCATGTTTCAGACAGTCTGTAACTGTTCTGCTGTGATTGCATAACATGATCGTCCCACTCGCTGTCTGCAGGACACTCTGTCCACAGCTGCCACTTTGTTGTTTACTACAGTGTTAGTGCAATGTTTGGTGCAACCGGCTGACTGAATTATTGTGTTTTCAGACCATCACAACCAGAAAACCAGCGTGTGACCAAAGTTTTTCTCACGTACTAACGTCTCCGCTTCATACTGGGTTTTACAAAGAAGGTTTTTTGTTTTTCATGCTCAGTCAAGTTTGGACGGATTAAAAAGCCTGCTTATCCTGCTTTTTGTTGTTCAGAGTTACAGTTTGCTGACTCAAACTGAAACTCTTTACAGTCAGTTAGTAATTAAAATAAAAAAGTTGATATTGTTTGTAAAATGTCAACAAAACAGAACAGAAGTCAATTACCTATAAATGATTTTTACTGTATTTTAATTTTAAAGCATGAACAAAGTCCTATTACATGTTAAAACAGAAATCTCTACTTAGCAGCATGTTTAAACAAAGATGAAACAGATGTGTTTAAACAGCTTCAGGAGTTTTGAAAATGAAATTATCCCCAACCCTCCAAAAGACAGAGCTGTAATCCTTTTTATTTGTGTGTGTTCATTTGTCTGAAAATACCTCATGAACCACTAAACACATTTTAAAAGTATTTATGTGGCACACATCTATGACTGAATAACTTTTGATTTTAACCCAATTAAAGATGGCTGCCACACCCTAGCAAACATAAAAATACCATAATACAGAACATTTTGCAAATATTGAGCCAAAATTCAGTGTATCAGTATATAGGGTCATTCACCACACATACTCCAAGAGTTAACATCATGCAAAAGTACACAAGACATTGCAACATTACATAGGACTGAGCATAATTTTACTTTCAAGGTTTAACCAAAACAGCTAGATGTTTCACAACTCGGGCATGAAAGGCTGCAGGTATTCCTTTAAGGAAGGTTAGACCTTTAATTTGATGTCTGAACCATGCAAAACATCTTCTGTTGTTAATGTTTTCGGTTTGTGATAATAGACTCTTTAAGCATACAATGCAATTTAGCATTGTTTTGCTAAAATAAGCAATAGCTTCCCTGAAAAAGACAGAATTTGGCTGACGATTACATCATCTAAGATCTATTCATGACTCAGCATTAATGTTGCTTTAATCAGTATGCATCCCTGACTTTCTGTTTGCTTAAATGCACAATAATGTAGCTTCATATTCTTATAAACATCAGTGTGTCTTCCTCGTTAGCCTGAAGGACACAATGTTTGTTAAACTGAAAATAAATGTCGTATTTTGACCATATTGAAAGGCATTTTTGCATTCTGCCTCAGTCCATCCTAGATTAGTTTGTGCTCATGAAAGTCAAGTGATGATGTCATCACCTGCCTCCAAAGACAGTGATATTTTGGCCCGTGTGTGTGTGTGTTTGCTGCAAAATTAAAAGAAAATCTCATGAATCAGTGGGTCAATTTTAATAAGACTCTCAGAAAGTAACCACTCAGTGTACAAAACCAAATCAAGCCTGCTCAAAGTTTAAAATTTAAATCTAAAGAGAATGTTCAGATTTGTGTATTATTTGCTGTTACGTCTTAATGGAACAGTTTTGGAAGACTTTATTTCTTGTGAACATAAGATGCCAAGCCTTTGCTATTACACTGTAAATTATTTTTGATTGTCTGTATGTGTGAAGGTTTTCCTGGTCCTGCCTGTTGTGCCACTGATGTGAGCCACACAACCATCAGAAGACGTGTTAATTGCACCAACGTTTCAAATGGTAGGAGCCCTGCTGCAGAGGAGGATTTTTTATTATCTATATGCAAAAAGTCTACTTAAATGCAAAGATATTAGGCTTTATTCAGAATTCAAATCACTGTTTGGAAAATGTTCTATAGAATTTAATTTGATGATAAAACCAGTAATAAAAATGTAGAAAAAGAAAAGAAAAAAGGTATCCCGATGTCCCCTGTTGCTGAAGGATTTGAATTGGGAATGTTTGTAGTTTTTTAGATGAGTTTTTTTCTGGACTGAAACTGAACAGAAAATGAAAGTAGAGCTTAATGTTTTTGGTACAAGATATTCAAGTGGGGTCGAGTTAAACTGTGTTTTAGAATGGAGGTAGTTTTTTATTTTTTTATTTTTTTGTCCAAGTACAAGTACAGATCCAGGCGAGTGGAGGGAACAATATTATCCAACACCAGGTGCTGTGGCTGCACCAGTGTGTGGGCCCACTGACCCCCACTACCATTAGAGGAAACTATACTTTCAAGCAATATAAAAACTAGAAAGAATAGTTTACTCAAATGATCAGGGTGGTTGTTTTCCACACGTATGTATATATTCAGTGGTTGCCATCTTGGATTTTGATGTGGCAACCTCATTTTTAACAGTAACATTTTTTACGCCTCGATACAACCGCACACCAAACTGAGAGTTGGAGCCTCACTCATTTTTTAAGAAATTCAGCTTACAACACGGACAAAGGATATTTCCAAGTACACTCTGTAAAATACAGATTTTTCTTAAGCACTTTCAAAAAATACTGTATTATTTTTGTTTCACCTTACAGAAATACCTGCAGTAAGCTCAAGTAGCGACAGTGATGCCTTTAATGTCAGCAGAAATGTCACTGAAAGCACCACGACAGAAGGTAAACGTTTTGTATTCCACACAATTTCTGGGTTTTCTGGGTATTCCTCAAATCTGGTATTTCAAAAACATTTTCTCTCCCTCAAAACAAATCTCATCTTGACCAGTGTTGTGTTTTTTACAGAATTGGTATCACCCCTTCCAGATTATGCCTGGACTGAAACCAGCTCAGTAACAATGGAAAATAAGGATTTATTAACAGGTTAGTTATGGGACTCATTTAGAACAGAGTTACGTTTATTTTTTGATTCATTTACTTACAGATTGGATCTTAATTTCAAGCTAAAATTGTTCAAATCCTCCTCATAGCTGGACCAACACCAAACCCAGACCATGGAGGCGGGGCTCTGTTAAACGTCACTGACTGGGAGACGCTTCGGCTCTTTAAACCCGGTACGCAGCCGTTGTTTCATTCATTAACCAACCTTTTCAGTTGTTCATGTGTTTATGTTTTTACTTTTATATTTGCAGAATCACAAACGCCTCATTCAGCTGAAAACACCAGCGATCACCTGAATGATACCAACTCAGAGGAACATCTGGACTCAGAAACTGTCTCTGGTAAATCCCTGACTCTGTTGAGACGACCTCACTTTTATATGTAAAGAAAAGCAGAATATGTAACATTTATGTTTTTCTACACCCAGTATCCAACACTGGAAACGAGACAGAGGGGCTGATAAATACGTTATCAGGTTAGATCTCCTCTGCTTCTAGCTTTAAACCAAGAATTTTCTTTATTTTTTCTTGTGCATTTAGATTAAATGGGCTTAAGCCTAATGTCTAACATGTGGTTTTATTCTGTAGTTCTACTGGATCAACACCAGAACAGTGATGTCTTCAATGACAGCAGAGATGATATTGAATCAAGCCTAAATAAAGGTAAAAATGTCACATATTTGATACAGCAAACAAGATTTCTCTTCATAGTTTGGAATTCTGTCTGTAAAATACTGCATTGTTAGTTTGCAAAGTCCTTATTAGTGATTTGGATTGGAAAGGGTCTATGCAGGTTTAAAAGCAAAAAAGCTGAAATGACTCTTTAGAAATCTTGTTATTAAAAATTATGTACAGTATGTTGTTTATTGTCCTTTTTTAATATATATTTATGAATTTAAAAAGCAAGATTTAAGTTTTGAGGTTCACTGCAGTAGTAGGAAAATAAACCTAACTGTATAATTAAAATGTTTTCAGCTCCGAGTCAAAGCTTTGCTCTCTTTCTGCTTTTTTTCCCCAGAGCCACCAACTCCACCCTCACATGAGATCAACAATACTTTTAATGTTTATGATTTTCTCCATAGTCTAAATTCAAAACCAGAACCGGGTAAACCATCAAAACTATGTAGAAAAATCAAGAGTTCACTTTACAAATACTGTATAATTTAAGTAATTTTGTTTATTTATTCATTTCTTATAGGACCAGAAGATTGGTATGAAAATGTTGATTATGATGTCTTGAAAGGCTTAAACACAGAAAATGTTACAGAGGCTCTGAAGACATTATTACCAGGTCAGCACTCCTATTTTACTTATTAGTATTTGTATTTTTATGCTTAATGTTTAACATATCTTTTTTTGTTCTGCAGTTCTCCTAGATTTCCTCCAGAATCTGGATTCCTTCAGGGACATCCGAGAAATTATAAAATCAAACCTGCAAAGTGGTAAAAATATGGTTTTACTATTTATTTATTTATTTATTTATTTATTTATTTATTTATAATCATCATGTAGAAAGCCTTTTAGAAAAAAGGACTTCGATCTGAAAGCAACAAAAATGCCTCTTTAAGAATTTAGTTTTAAAATCCATTAAAAAGATATAAAGTGTAGTATTTTTTATTTAATTTTATTTAAACAAAGCTAAATTTGAGTTGTATCGTTAACTGTAATAACAGGAAGATAAACTGATCTATTAATAGTTTCACAAAAGAAATGAAAAAAATAGCATATACTTTACAGTGTGTGTGTGTGAGACGATCAGAAATGCTTTGAATGTTTCTGACTTTATTAATCATCGAAAACTCAGTCAAACATCAAAACTGGAGAAAAAAACAAGCGTATAATTCATCAAACTTGTATTAAATTTGTTTGTTTCATTTATTTTAGGATCAGAGGATTTTTATGAGGATCTCATTCAAGGCAGTTTGAATGACTTAAACACAGAAAATGTGACAAAGGAACTCGTAAAGTTTTTACCAGGTTACATCCTCTTTACCTTTTAAACTTTAAATTTTTTCTTATTCATGTTTGCATCATATGTTTAAACTTAATGTCTAACAAGTCCTTTTCTTCTGTAGTTCTCTTGGATCTTATCCAAAACAGTGATGCCTTCAGGAACATCAGAGACTTCATAAACTCAAGCCTGCAAAATGGTAAAAATATCATTTTTTATTTAGGTTAAGCATTTCACTGTGAAACTTGTAATTAAACAGCTGTGGTGTGTTATCTGTTTTTATTTAAATAAAAAAGCTGCACTTGAGTTTATAGTTTACGTAGTAACAGGAAGGCAAACTGTAAATAATGTTAATTTTTTTACTTCATACATCATTTACAAAGGTTAACCTGGTTAACCATTAAAAGTGTAACAGAAAATCAAGCCTTGGCTTCAGCAAAAATGTGTTTAACTAATTTTTTTTTTTTTTCAGGACAAGAAATTTTCAATGAAGATGTCATTTATGGCATCCTGAAGAACTTAAATGCAGAAAATGTTTCAGAGGGACTCGAAAATTTATCAGGTCAGATCACTTCTCTTCTTCTGAACTTTGTATTTTTTTATTTTAAAATTTCTTTTTTAATATTATTTTTCTATCTGTGTGTAGAATAAATATTTGTAAGGTTGAAAGGATAGTCCAAACTACAAGAGGATTAGAGCCATTGAAAAAAAAAACAATAATTCTGACTTCAAGGTCAGAATTCTGACGATTTTTCTTAGAATTTTGAGATTAAACTCTTTAATTTTTTTTCTCAGTGGCCCTAATCCTCCTTCATATATAACTGTTAAATAGCATAATGTTAAAAATATCTCACTTGTCATCATTTAACAGTTCTGCTGAACAGCCTCCAGAACAGTGATGCTTTCAACGACAGCAGAGATATTATTCAATCAAGCACAAGTGGTTAGTTCTGTTCTGTATTTAATATTTGAAACATTTTTAGTTCTTGTTTGGGATTTTGATGCCATTTTTTAATTAAAATTATACACTAAATGGCTATGAATAAAAAATAAAATTCCCTTCCCAAAAAATGCATACAATTTGAGTTTTGGCTTTAAGTTAAAGCAGTGAGAAACAGGTAATTGATCAGATTTTTTTCTTTAGATGCACTGATATGTTTGTCTTTCTTGTTGAGTCTTGTATTTTATATAGGCCTTTATATATATATGTATTTATTTATTTTTTAAAGAGCCACCACCTCTACAGTCAGCTAAAGGGACTACAGATGTTTTTAATGTTTCTGACTCCAACAATCAACTTTATGCAGAAATGGAACTTGGTAAAGCATCAAAACCAGGTAAAAATACCAAACTTTGACTTGATAAAAAGGATGTTAAACTGAAAATCTTTTTGAGACAGAGTATCTTCCTGAAAATGTCAGCCTTGGCATCTTGAATAGTTTGGATCCTGAAGATGTTACAGAGGAACCAGTAAAATATTTACCAGGTATTTTCTAACTTATCTCATTTACAGCTGATGTAGTAACAATCAATGTGACGAAGTATTGCTTCAAAAATGACCAGACTATCCCTTTAAAACCTCCTTTGTTTGCTTGTTTTAATGTGCTGTTTCTCTCTACAGGCCAACATGAAGCAGACCTCTCCAGCAGTGCCCTCAGTAGCAACAGAACTGTGAATAAATCATCTTTAAAGAATGGTAACATCATAGCTGCAAACTCGTGTTGTTTTCATCTTATTTTCTGTACCAACTTGTTTATTTTAATGTTATTTTTAATTTTTTATAGAGTCACCTCTACCAGATGGAAACAACAAAGATACTTTTCACATGAATGACTCCAAGAAGCATCAAAACAGAAAAAAACAACCTGGTAAATCAGTGTAGCTGTCAGTCAAAATTCATTTTGAGTCAAGATTTGATACTTTACTGTCATTCCAGCCTTATATTACATTTTTTATTATTGTTTATTGAAACGTGTTCCTTTAAGAATTTTTATGAGAATGACAACTGGTACACCCCTAATGATACCTAGAGAAAACTGATCATGTCTTTTTCATGCTTTTGTTTTCATATTACAGTCTCTGCATCTGAAGTGGGTCAAAGGAAGAAAACTTCAAACACCAGTGGGAGCGATTCTAACAAACAAATGAAAAGTGGTGAGAAAGCAGCTTAAGTTCACTTTTTTGTGTTTAATGTTTAACGTTTTAGACAACTTATTCCAACTTATGAAACTTATTTCAACTAAATTACTAATAAAATGTATATTTATCATTTGATCAGTTTGTTAGCATTACAGTACATGCTTCAAAGAGGCTTTCAGTTGATTTGTAAAAATTTCATCTTTAATGTAGGTGTCTCTAAATCTTTCATAAGTTGGCACAAGTTGTCCAAAATGTTACAGTGACAGGGCTGATGCTTTATCTTTCTTCTTATTAAGTCTTTGGCTCAATCTTATCATGCTTATTTAATATAATGACAGAGTAAAGTTTAATAAATTACCAGTGGAATATATTATCTCATATTATGTCCAAACAAAATAACCATTTTTTTATTTTCTTTATTTTTGCTCTTCAGACTCTTCAGATCAGTCGCAGACCTACAATACAATCCGTGTAACCACAGCTGAAAAGCGGACAAGAACTGGTGAAAACATTTAGTGAAATTAAGCTTTAAAGGGGACATGTCATGCAAAATCCACTTTTTTAATTGGGAGCCTCTAGGAGTGCAGAAATTTTGAATTTAGACTCACCATATGCTGTGTAGATAGTTTTCTATATTTTCTATGATGTTTTCTGAACTATTTTGGCAAATTATTTGTGACTGAACTGCCAAATAAGGTCTGGACTTACCAGCTAAAATTTGGTGGTCTTCATTCTCCCCTGGTGCTGGGTCCGACTCTGGCTCCAACATAAGGCTGGATGAACAAGTCTACTGTTGTTGACATCTTAATTATTTTGTACAAGTTTCTGCGACGCTATATAGTCGTGAACCCCTCTACCAAACTGGAATGTGTCACTCTGGAAGATGAAGGTGGGCAGGACATGAAGCTTCTTGTTTAGATTTAAAGAGACAGCCTCAAAACGAGTTTTCTCAAAATGAGAAAGAGGGACTTGTGGGGTTACAATAGGGAGGGATTCAGACAAAAGCATTGCAGTTCCACTTTATATAGACCCCCTGTTGAATGATGTGAAAAAGGAGTATTTAAAAGCATGATATGTTCACTTCAAATAATCTAAACTCTTTAAAGCTTAATTCAATGTTGTACTGTCTAATTGATACAGTTTTTTTAATGATTCTTAAAATTGTGTTCCTACATCTAGAATGCAACATTAAAGCCTTTAAATGTTCGGAAAGTTCCACCAAAGTGGAAAACACGTACGGAGCCTGGATGTCGGATGCGTCGCGGCTGGAAGACGGTCGAGTCTGGTTGGCCGAACACTTTTCAGGTGATTCATGCGGCAGTTGTGATTTTATAAACTGAGTTTTTACCTGATTAAGTAAAGTAAGAACTGAGTAAAAACATTTCTCCACCAGGTCGACATTTGCACGAGTTTGAGAACATCTCCGAATTTCCGAATGGACACTACAAAGTTATAGATCTCATGAAGTTCTATCATGGCTGTGGTCATGTTATTTATAAAGGATCGTTTTACTTTCATAATGGAGGAACAAACCAGCTTGTAAAGTGAGTGTTATTTTGTTAAACATGTTGATATGATAACAAGTGCTGTCTCAGCTCCTTTATCAATATTTGCTATTCTCCAGGTTTGTCTTAAAGTCGAGGAGAACAACCACGCTGACCATGCCTTACAGCCGATATCGCAACCTGACTTATCCCTTCGAGAACTCAAAGACGTATTTCAAGTTCGCTGTGGATGAAAACGGCCTGTGGGTGATCTTTGCCTCGGACGTGAATGACAACACCATGGTGGCAAAGCTTGACCCGGACGACTTCTCTGTGGAGTCCATCGTTGACACGGCCTTCCCCACAGCTAAAGCAGGGAATGCTTTCATCGTGTGCGGCGTGCTGTACGTTACAGATCGTACGGACAAGAGAGTGACGTACGCCTTCGACTTAAAGACGCACGAACTTGTGGATGCAAGCTTGAATTTAAGACAAGCTAATGGCACCATGGCTATGCTGTCCTACTATCACCAAAGAAATCTTTTGTACATGTGGAACGACAGAAGCGTGAGCACCTGCAGAGTTAAATTCAAACACATCTAGAAAAGAAAGTTCAACTTTATAAATATTAAACCATTGTACACGTCATCAGTTTTTTATGTTTTTAGACTTAAATCTGCTGTTTTTTGTTCGTTTTGTTGCAATATCTACTGCCTTAAACAAATTGATCAGTTTGATCCATTACTGACAGATAAATGTGTCTCAAACAAATTTCACTTCCCATGTAGCAAAAGCTGGTCCAGTTCTGGCCCACACAAGGCACCAACATTTGGCCCACAGGCTACGCATAAAGAATAGTTTGGTGGCCCAGATGTAGTTTGCCAGAGGTGGTCCATGCATGGGTCAGCACCTCATAAACTAAACAACTGGGCCAGTAATGGCATGCCATCTTAAAAACAGTGCCACCATTGCCAGACCTGGCCCACATCCTGTTGACAAACCACTTATAATGCCAGCCTGACCAGATCTGGCCCATGTCTGTCTGCTATATGGGTACATTCAGGTTCAAAAAAGTAAAAATCTGCTTTTTAAACTGTACAAATATTGTAAATAAAAAGGTTAGTAAAGATGAATAACTGTTGTGTGTCTCCTTAAGTATTTGCACTTCTGACATCAAATGTAATCAAATGCGTAATGAATTAAAGAATTAAAAAAATATTTTAAACAAGTTTACAAAATGCTTTTAATTAAAATATATAATAGTAAGGAATTAAAAAGTTTTAGTTTTTCCAGGTGAAACAGGAGAAGGAAGCTGCATACATATAAAAATAAATAAACGCTTCCAGTTTAAATGTGCCAGTTGTTTCTTTTAGTAATTATCTTATTTTGGTTCCCTCATTAAAAGCCACCGTCATCCTCCTTCATCTCTGTCCTCTCTAAGTGCATCCATGTGTCTCCTTTTTGTCTTCGTCCTAACAGCTGCATCTCTAACATCATCCTGTCAATTAACCCACTGTCCCTCCTCTGGACATGTCCAAACCGTCTCAGTCTGGTCTCTCTATCTCCCAGTCGTTCAACCTGTGCTGCACCTCTGATGATCTCATCCCTATCCATCCTTGTCGCTCCCAGGGAGAACCTAATCATCTAAACATAAAGAGGTAACAGCTCATCCTGTGGCTCTAACTTGATTTAAACTGGATGACGTCATCAGTATAAAGGGAGGTGGTGTTGCTAAAAGTACTGAAGAGATTTTACACTTACCAAAGTAATTTCATTGTGGCTGGTATGTGAAAAACATGTATAATTCAAACCATCCTTTGGTTGTCCTTTTTACAGCAACAGAAGAATTAGTAAGATTTGTTCTGGGTCACACTGATGTCATGTTATCACTACACAACAACAACAACAACAACAAAAGCTCATTTAAGCAAATCAGTATGGGACAAGGGTTGTCTGTAGAACACCGTCACTCTTCTGGTTTTATACTTTTATGATCAACAAGTTTTTCTGGTATAAAGTTGAGAGTTAGTAAAACAAAAGCAGAAAAAATGTTTTCTTTTTAAAAATTACATCAACCTATTACTTTAGCTATTTAAACTAAAAAAGTGCGAAAGGATAAAATGTATTTTAACAGTTGTTAAAAATATACCTTTTATTTCTTCTCTTATATGGAAAAAGTCATTTTCCAGTCATTTTTAAACAAATAGATTAACATGACTGTAAATTAATTGAACTATAACTAAATGTACCATTTAAAATACATTAAATCAGTTGTTTTAACTTTATATTTAAACTATTTTAATCTATGTATAAAATAATAATAAAAAAGCTTAGACATAAGTTACCATCCAGTTTAAAGTCAGTTCCCAGTTCACACACAGAGTTCCTCACAACTACCAAGTTAGTAATTTTGATGTGTCAGTTAAATTTAATACACATAAAGATAAATGATCCAATCTGTTCTTTGGACATTATCTGATTTAAAATCAAAGTAAAGACAGAAGTGACCATCAACACAACCACACACTGCATTCATGGTTAGAATCAACTCGGACATTCCCATTGAGTAATAATTAAAATATTTGTTAAATATTAGTCATTCTAAAGAGACTTTTAAAAAATCACAGAAAATGATCTAGCTATCAGTAGGCTATTAATTGATATGTGTGAGTAAATTTCATAAGATTTAATTTGTATGTTGCTGGTTCTAATTTAAATTCAATACAATTCAAAAATACTTTATTGATCCCAGAGGGAAATTAGGTGTTGTTGTAACTCATTCAACTAAAAACTTATTGTAGATGCTGATGGCTGTGGGCAGGAAAGATCTTCAAAAAATCTTTAAAAAGTGTTAGAGGCGTAAGTATTTATTTATTTAATTATTTATTTGAGTAAAAACTATTAGTAATGTAAATAGTCTATTTAACACCCTACAAAAGCCCTTTTACAGTGATCATTGAACAATACATGTAGTTGCTTCTATTACGCGATGCTCCTGAACGCCTCAGAAGTCGTCATTTGCTTTTGTAGATCTCCAAGTATGTGGATGCGCGAGGACTCCATGCAAATTAACGGAGCCGCCATGTTGCTGTTGCCGTTAACATGGTTCAACATCGTCAGCGTAGCGACAGTTCCTTCAGGGAAGGCTAGTAAGTTAGCTTGATGTAACCTCGTTTGTACCAGCAACGTTACATCACTTTAGGTCGTGTCCCACATGCGAAATAACGACCAAAAGGAACAAACTCTTCCAGATTCAAGTCATATGGTACTAGTATTAGTCACTGACCTGTCAAACAAGAACAATATTAGAGCGACGGCCTTAGTGACTTAGCAAGTTTTAAGGAGGGTGCTACCAATACGTTTTCATCTTGCACGTAAGTACAAATATCAAACTAATTAAACGTAACCCTTTAATTTTTATTACCTTTTAGAGTTAAGCTGTGCTAGTTAGAAGTGTGACGTCCTTATGCTTCGCCTGTTGTTTAGCATTAGCTTCAGTGAGAGATGTTTGTCATTTTCCTTGCCCGATGGGCCTTCAGTTAGCTAGCCGTGACCCGTCAATAGCAACATTAGCTTAGTTTGTTTATTTGCTAATAGCGTGAGCAGGAGTTGTGATAAATAAGTATATTCATTACTTTTGATTAAAGAACTGTATTTCCTTACATGAGCAGCACTGACTGCACCTTTCGACTGTTTTATCACCTGTTTTATTAAAGCTGTAAAGTGACGTTAGGTACGTCATATTTTGCCCCATGGGTTGTCAGCATTTTTATGTATCTGTATATCTGTTTTCAAACACACTCCTGCTGTAGAATTGACGGTTGATCTTAAATTTGCAAGATTTGTTGCCCATTATTTACAAAAAAATCAATATTGGAAGCTAGTATTAGAAACATTAGTGGGGTTCACACACAACACTTATGTATTTTAGTGTTTTTTATGTTAGAATGATATATTTTCAATACTTACTCATTTCTATATTAAAGGGTAACCTCTTGGGTGAAAATCAATTTAAATATTTTGCACTGGTTTACAGCAGTGGTGGACACTGGTCTTTCAAGGAGAGGAAGCTCAGTTTCGGCCTACATAATAAAATGTGTGGGTTATAAATTCTACCCTCTGTTCCTTTTTTAGTTTATAGTATTTATTCATTGAATTAAAAAAACAAAACATTACATACAACAAAACAAAAACAGATAAAATAAAAGGCAGCAGAAGAAAAATATCTTATATCTGCTCCTATGTACAAAAATATTAATTTCAAACAATAAACCAAATAATAAAACAAAAAATTCAGCTCCTCAAACAGTGACTCACAAATACAAATTAAACAATTTCATATTTCTTTGACAATTTTGCTTTGATGATTTTTTAAAGGAATTAATTGATCCAATGCTTTTATAATCATTTTCCAGATTATTCTGTAGTCTTTTACAGCAGCCAGCTCTGTTATACCAGGACAGCTGAAAAGACCTGTTATTTCCCCACTGTGGGATTAATAAAAATGTTTTTTTTATCTTACCTTTCCCCACCTTTTGCACCAAATTAATCTGAGGAGTTGATCAGCTCTGCTGTTTAACTCTAAGTTTTTCTTTGTAAACAAGACTGTATCAAATGGCTTCGCCAAAATCCGGTCCACAACATTCAAACTCTCTGCCATTATGTGCAGCTTGCTACCTAGCTAACTCGCTAGCTGGGACTGGTGCGAGGCCAGTGTGAAGTGTGTCCACCTTTGAGTGCTTTGTGATGGCAGAGGGGCTCAGCAGCCCCCGCTAGACAAAAAACTGTGATAGACGTCAGAAAGAGTGATAGAAGTCTGTCTCCAAACACAAGCAGACACAATAAAAACCCACCAGATATAAAAACGTGATTTGTTGCTAGTCGTTTTTAACAAAGAAAAGACCGCTAAGAGGATTAGGAAAATATCCGGTTCAGCTCAGAACAGAAACGAAACTAAAAACTGCTCCCACTGAATGTTTACACCTAAATATCTCTGATTGGCTCATTTCGCTGTCAATCAAAAAGGGATTCAGGCTCAGACAGATCATCCAATCATCATGCAGAATCTGGGTGTCCGAGCCCACCCACTGCTCCATAGACCCCCAGAGACGCTGAGCGTCCGGGGGCGGGACAAAGCCCAGCATTTATCCAATGGCTCGTCTCGTTTCGCTGCATTTTTTTGCCTATTGAAGTCTGTGGACGCTCAGCGTCCGACTGTTTAAAGCTCTGTGAAGCTGAGGGAAAGAGGGAGAGAAAAGCCGCGTCGTTACCAGTGATAAGAAGCTGATTCTGAACAAAAGTTGAGCGCATTGTAGTGCATATTTAGTCAATGACATGAACACACAACAGTGTTTATTTGAGCACTTATTTTTTTACATTGTAGAGGAATCTGAGCTTCACTTGTTGTCTTAGACCAATCGCCTCTGGTTTAGAAATACCACAGGTTTATAGTGACTAATTAGATTTACTTTGTTACAGTACTTAAGTAGTTTTATTGGGGATTTGTAATTTTACCAATTATTTTTTTAAATAGCTACGTTTACTTTTATTTCGTTACATTTTAAAGCTAAAAATTTACTTCTTTACTTTAAAATTTAACACCTAGTTATTTGTTACAATATTAAAATGTTCGAACTCATCATGAAAAGATATTTCTGCACTTTTAAAAAATGAAGTGTTTAATTTACTCAGCAAAGTCATGTCAACTGGTTCCACTAAGCCTAGTCAAGTAAACTGAGCAAAGAATTGACATATATTGCTCAATTAACTCAACCTGGCTGAGTGGAACCAGTTTGGTTCAGTAAATTCAACAGTTATTTCTAAGAGAGTGTATAAAAGTACTTTTACTTTTTCCCAGTTTTTATGAACAGTTTTATGACTTTTACTTGAGAGTTCTCTCATCAGTGAAATTTGTTTTTACCAAAGTACTTTTCTGTTCATGTAATTTTACTTATACTTAGTTTTTTTTTTCCAAATACTTTACAGACCTCTGAGAAATACTAATTTAGGTCACAGAATCTGACTTTACTCCAGTCTCTCCTGCTTGTTACTGTAATGTTTTTTGCTTGTTGCCCTTTTTGCCCTGTGCTTAGTTTTTGTTTCTTTTTCAGGATTTTCAGACAAAAGGAGAGATGTCCTGTACGTGCACCTCAGCTGCAAGATTGTTCCTTAGCACTGCCCACAGAGGTAAGAAAAGTCTCCCAGCTGAAACTGCATGACATTTGCTCTCACTAACCCTCATTGCTGTTTGTTATTGCAGTTATGTAGTTCATGTCAACAGCAGGTGGAAAAGCCACTTTAAGAGTTGAGTAGCTATAGATAGGCCAGCCTGTTGCATCACACATCTTTCTGTAGTGTTGGATTGTGCGAGTTTATAGATTTTTTTGTTGTTTGTAGAATAAATTAAGATGCTAAATTTAGTTATGCTCATATAATAAAAATATATACTGTATATTATTTACTAATTATTTCTCAGTTAATAACTTTCAGACTAAAATAATGCATAAGTTTTCAGTGTTTGGTGTGAGATTTAGCACATCCTGTCACAATTGTACCCACAAGAAATTAAATTGGATGCTCCTGGTCTTGCAGGATTGTCGTGCAACCGAATCCAGTTGTTTTCACTGAGTCGTCCAGTCGCTCGGGAAACACGTTTCCATCCTCGGGTGTGTGTCAGGTCGTTTTCAGACACCGCTGTCTGTTATGCATCTAAAGATGGGACAACAAAAGACAGTGGGAATGATGGCGGAAAGGTAAACTCTTGAAGGATAAAATTCATTTTCATCAGTTTTTCTACTTGTTGATCGTGTCAATAAAAATTCTCTTAACACTGTTTTTGGTTTTTTACAGAAAAGTGCCAGTGAGGGAAAGAGACAGTCTGGTTCTGGAGGATCAGACAAAGGTGGAAATCAGCTACGCTGCCCTAAATGTGGGGACCCCTGCACACATGTAGAGACCTTTGTTTGTAAGTACATTTATTGGATTTTAACAAACATTTACAACCTTTCATAAAGATAAGTGCGGACAGTGGAGGATTATTTTCAGACAACAGGACCACAACTTTTAAATGTTTGTTTTTTACATTGTAGTCTTTTAAAGTGTTCAACATTGTCTGTTTTTAGCCAATAATTGTCTGTTTTTGTAAAATGACTAAATAAAGACATGCATTTTGATTGTAATATAACTTTTAGAAACACCCAAAGGTTTTTAAGAATTACCATTGCTAATAGAAGTTGGAGGTGTCATTTATTTATGTTGACAAAGCTAAACTGTTTGTTTGACCTTCACCTCTTGTAAAAGTACAGCTGCACAGTTCTACATCAGTTTGCCAGAATATAATTTTAATCTGCGACTCTGAATTTAAATGTGTTTTTGTTATGCACTGGATAAACTGTATTTCAAACACACACACTTAAACCCACACACCACAAACAACCCAGAGAAATGTGGCTTTCATTGTTGTCATGTGACAATTTTCTGTTTATTTTTCAACTTCACCAACGTGTCAGCTGATATTTGCTGCATTCAGGAATGTTTCCTGTGATAAGATGACAGTTTTGTTTTTGTTTTTATTTTAGTTTTTATTTTTCTTCTTCATTGTAGAGTAGCTTAGCTCCATCTTCTCTTTACTTTGGATTTTCATCATCAGAATAGGCTTTTTCATATAAACCAGCTTAATTTTATTGTAGTTTTAAACATTTTGATCACTGCTGTTATCACTGCAACAAAACATGAACCATGGAGTTTGTTAGAAAAGATCAAATTATTTCAGTGTTTTGAGAGCAAATATTCCACAACATAAATCATACTAGAATCAGAAACAGGTTATTGTTCACTTTTAGTGTTATTTCATATTAAAGCTTCTCCAAACAGTATTGAGCTAATTTCATTCCATTATTGATGTGAACGTATTTCTATTCCTTTAAATTATGACAAGTTTTGTTAAATTTGCTTCATGCTTTGAGCAAAACAACATTCTTCTTCAATTTTCTTGCTGTTTATTTTATTTTCTTGTTGACATGTTTGAAAAACTTGTTTCTAAATTAGTTTTTTTCCTGGGTTCCTTTATAGCATCAACACGGTTTGTCAAATGTGAGAAATGTCATCACTTTTTTGTGGTCCTGTCTGAAACGGATTCTAAAAAAGGGCTAAACAAAGAACCAGAATCGGCTGCGGAGGCTGTGAAACTGGCGTTTGCACAGAAACCACCTCCTCCTCCCAAGAAGGTAAGAAATTGTGAGCTGGTAACGAAGTTACAGTTTTAAATCTGCAGACAACTTAATCTTTCTTTTTTTTGTTTATTTTAGATTTATGCCTATCTGGACAAATATGTTGTTGGCCAGTCTTACGCAAAAAAGGTCTTGGCCGTTGCCGTGTACAATCACTACAAGCGCATTTACAACAACATCCCTGCAGGGAACCGACAGCAGGTGGAGGTGGAGAAACAGCCGTCTTTGACACCTCGTGGTGAGTTTCTGTTTTCCTAAACTCTTTCTTGTGTCTTATTCCAAATATTATGTATATTGAACAAGCAAACCATTGTAGGCCTAGGTGCTAAGCTCTGTAGCATTTCAGAAAAAAAAAACAAAAGTAGAATTGCAACACACTTTGGCATTTGGGGCCTACAAGTTACAAAGTTAAAAGTTACAGTTTAGTGTTCTTAGGACTGAAGACTTTCTTAGGAAAGAAGTTTTTAAACATTTTTTCTATAATTTTAGTGTTTTCAACTGAGGGGATTTGAT